CCCTTGAGTATCTCTATCACGGGCCGGCTGGGGTCTTTCCTACATCTCCCCTCCACTTCATCTTCCACACCCTTTCCCTCAACCTCATCATTTTTACAGGGTCTAATCCAGCCGCAGTCAGTCTTTCCCCCCCTTTCTCCTATCTACCTCCCCATCAACTCCACATTCTCCCCCATAAGCAGTTCCGTATTCTACCACCCCTTTTACACCATCATCCACACCTCCATACGATCTCTCATCCGGCTCCTGGGGCCTGCGGGGAATTCCCACCCCCCCGCGACCAACTTTCTCATTACGGGGGTACCCAGCCAAACTTTGGCCCATTCCCCCCCCACTTTTGCTCGCTGAAGCCTGCGTGTCCCTCGATCTTACATTTCGCCATCCGCTCCATTCCTCTCTTCGATCTGTTTCACCCCATCCCCTTTCACCCGGCGAGGCCCGCGTGTCTCTCAGTCCTTCATATCGTCGTTCGCTCCATTCTCTTGCATGCTCTACCACGTTTTCCACTATTCTTTCCACACTCTCATCCCTACCCCCTTGGGATCCTGTACCCTCCTTGCATGCTCCACGGGGGCCTTTCCTCATTCTGTAGCCATCTCCCCCATTCTGGTAGTGCCCAATCGAGCCTCGGTCCGTTCCTCTCCTCCCTCTTTTACTCGCAGTAGACCATGCACATCCTGATACTCCACTTCGTAGTCCATCCTGCTCCTCTGTACGCTCACAACCATCCCCCCTCAGCTCGTACTGCGGTTCCTCCTTCTTCCTTTCCACTTCCTCGGCCAGCGGGCGCTCCATCTTGCCCCGGGGTCTTCTTCTCACGCTCGGTCCACCCGAGGTGCCTTGGTGTCCTTGCGGCCGCTGGTTACAAGCGGGATCCTCCCGTGCGGGGCATTCAGGTTCCTGGGCCACTGCATCCGCCCCCATACCCCGAAGGGTGATGGTCCCGGGCGTGTCCATTCTGCGGCCTAGGCCTCTACCGTGGCGGTTGTTATGCCACGCCCTGAGGGTCTGATGTGCCTGACATATGTCCACGTGCCGGTTAATCGAGTCCCGATTCGAAAACCAAGCTTCTTTTAATAATCTGCCACTTTTGGTGGCATCAGTGGCAAGGACCTGGGCATGTTCGAAATCAAAACGGTGGTCCTGCTCGGCCATGTGGGACCATATCTGCGAGTATTGCTCGCCTCTTCTAATGGCCAAGTTATGTTCGTGGAGGCGGGTCTTGAGTCTTTTAGAAGTCTCACCCACGTAGTGGCTCTTGCAATCCATGCAATTAACTCTGTAAACCACCGCCGATCTTTCTATCGTGGGGAGGGGGTCCTTCGGGCGCATAATTTTTGAACGTAACATTTGGTCCGGCTTATGGGCCACTTGGACGTTGTAAGGGGCCAGTAGCCTGGCCGTAGCCTCCGATACGTTATTAATATATGGTAACGTGATGCGCGTGGTTTGCGTGCTGAGGTCCCTCCTACGTTGGTCATTTTGGGGTCTCGGTATTCCGCTGTGGCATCTTACGAATTTTAAAGGATAGCCATTCAAGCGGCAGACCCGGTGCAAGTGCCTCCTTCTCTTCAAATTTAGCCTTCGCTGTGCTGCAATGCGTGTGTATACGTTGGAATAACGTATAACGTTGCGTGTGTATACGTTGGAATAACGAGCAAAAGTGGGGGGGGGAATGGGCCGAAGTTTGGCTGGGTACCCCCATAATGAGAAAGTTGGTCGCGGGGGGGTGGGAATTCCCCGCAGGCCCCAGGAGCCGGATGAGAGATCGTATGGAGGTGTGGATGATGGTGTAAAAGGGGTGGTAGAATACGGAACTGCTTATGGGGGAGAATGTGGAGTTGATGGGGAGGTAGATAAGGAATTGTTACAACAGGAAGATTGGTTGGAGGAAGGGAGCTTGAGTGCAAGTGATGGTGGGTTGAGTGGTTATGGTAAGATTGGAGGGAGAGTGTGGAGTAAGTGGCGAAGGGAGGGGGGATGCACGAAATGTTAAGATCGGAGGGGGGGAGGAAGAAGCTGAACGAGGCTTGATAGAGAAGCCCAGCGAAGGAGAAATTGGACGGAAGCCCATCGAAGACCTCCGGAGGCTCCGTAGGGTTAATGGAGGGAATGGCAGTATGGATGAAAGTGCCCTTGGGGCTAATGGATATGGCAGCGATTGCGAGGGTAGGAGGGGGATCAATGAGAAAGTAGGTGGGATGTTAGCAGAGAAGGCAATGTTGGGTCTGTGGAAAGAAGGGGATCCGAATATGGGTGAATGTTGGAAGGGAACGATGGATGGAGGTGAATGGGGGATGCCGCACGGGCAGGAAAGACACCTTAATCAATACGCCTTAATGGGATCATGTGCAGAAAGGGGACCCCGGGAGGTAGGAGGGCGTCCCCGCATGAAAGACGAGGGCGATGGGAGGTTGGAGGGGCGGAGCAGCCAGGAGGATGGTACAGAGAGAGGCGATCCGCCAGATACGAAGATAGGAGAAAGGGGGGGAAAGACTGGCTGCGGCTGGATTAGACCCTGTAAAAATGATGAGGTTGAGGGAAAGGGTGTGGAAGATGAAGTGGAGGGGAGATGTAGGAAAGAACCCCAGCCGGCCCGTGATAGAGATACTCAAGGGCCGCATAATGACAAACGGAAAAAGAAGGTAAAAGAGTTACATGCGAGTAAAACAAGGATACTCACAGCGCAGGAGCGCACATACTGGGGCCCAATCACACGGTCCCGTAGCCGGATGCAGACATTTGGAAGCAGCATATAAACCCTCCCTAGAAACCGCCTTGTCAACCCTGATGATGTCGGGAGAGCCCGACGAAAGCTTGGTTGCCTTTATTTTTAAACAGTGTATACACACACACACACATACAAGTAATTCGGTCTACGGACCGAATCCTCCACTATAACAGCAACCACCCGGTTTCCCATAAAGTTAGCTGCATCAAAACGCTGTTTAAGCGTATGCGTTCACACTGCAGCATGGTGAAGTCTAGGGCAGAGGAGAAAAAACATTTGTACCATGTATTCCGACTTAACGGATATCCGTTAAGATTTATTAGGACGTTTAGCAGGACGTTCGAGCCCCGAAGCAACCGACAGGAAGAACCATCCCAAACATCAATAACACGTGTCTCCCTACCGTATATAAACAACGTATCCGAGGCCACAGCCAGACTGTTGGCCCCCTATAATATAAAGGTGGCACACAAACCTGACCAGACTCTACGAGCGAAGATCATGCGCCCCAAAGACCCACTGCCCACCGCAGAAAGATCAGCGGTGGTATATAAAATCAATTGCATGGACTGTCAATGCAGTTATGTGGGAGAGACGTCAAAAAGATTAAAGACCCGCTTACATGAGCACAGGTTGGCGATCAAGAGGGGCGAACAAAACTCACAGATCTGGTCACACATGGCTAAAAACAACCATCGTTTTGACTTTGATAACACACAGATGTTAGCCAGTGATGCCACGAAAGGGGGCCGGCTGCTAAAGGAGGCTTGGTTTTCGGAAAAAGACTCCATCAACCGCCATATAGAAATGTGCTCAGCGCAATGGGCCCTATGGTCTTGGCATAAAAATCGACCCCGAACTGTTGGAAGAGACCGAGGTACCGACCACACACTAGCAGGAACAATGAGACACCCCCCCCACAGTATAACCGGATGGATATGCCTTTAGCATTCAGCCAGGCAAATATGACTTTAAATAACCCCCCAAAGGGGAAGGAGGACAGATCAGATATCATACGGCCAGATATGGCACCGGTAAAAAGGGGGGGAGCCGTTAACACAGAGAGAGATGGAGCTCCTGAGTTGTGGCCTCAAGCAGCGAGGAGATCCGATCACCCCCCAGAGAAAGAGAAGAAGGCGAAAGGGGGAGGTATAGAGACAGCCGGACCGCGCCAGGAGAGGGAGGGCAACCCTATGTCAGCAGATGCAGCGGGGAAGCACGGGACCAGGAATAAACCATTCGAACAAGGGAAAGATTCCCCCTCAGGAGATGAGAGCAGAGGACCCAGATGCAGCAAACGGAAGACCGAACAGCAGCGAAAGGGGGTTGTAGATAATACGAAAGGGGACAGATTACCTGAACTACGGCCGTGGGGAGCGGGGGCAGGGGGGGGATCAAATTGCAATTCGACAGAAACGGTTGGAGGAGCCAGGAGAAAATGTAAAATAGAACACACCCCCCACAATAGACAGGACCACGGACCGGGGTATAGTGAGAAGGGGATGACTGTTACCCATGAGGGAAATGAAAGGATTTTATCCAACTCCAGGATCGGAAGGACTGAGCACGATAGAGCACAGAACAAGAATAGGAAAGAGTTACTACAACATGCTCAGCTGGGACCCATGACACGCGCTAGGAGCTGGATGCAGATGATCAGCGGCTGCATATAGGCGACTCCCAACAATGGCTTGCATACCCTGATGATGTCAAGAGCTCTTGACAAAAGCTTGGTGGTTTAGTAAATAAATTTTAATTTTTTAAATTTTATATGTTTTATTCTCTTGGTGATCAACTATTTATTGTTTTTAATATATAATATTTTAAGATAGGTAGGTAGGAACACATTGAAGTATGCCATTTAAGGAATAAGGAGATGTATTTGAGGGCTACTGTGACTACAGTTGGATTGATTTGGAAAGGGAGCACCATTTTTCCCTATTTCTTTTAGAAGAAATGACACTATTTCCAAGACTTGGCTTTCATCCTGTGCAAAACAGGTTCAGTGGAAGTAGAACTCATTATGCACCCTGGACATATCTAGCTTTCTAAGGGGAATCTTGATTCCCTCCCGCTGCAAGTGCATCCCCACCCTAGTTTCCCCTGTTCTGAAGCATTTCCATTCTATTTAAGCAACATTCAACATCATCATTTCTGTACACCCTCCCACACAAGGAGGGGGACTTTAAACATTCATGTGACAAAGAAAGAAAATAGTTGGCAGCAGCAAGCAATGGAGCAAGGAGAACTGAATGAGAGAATTACTTACGGGTAATAGGAATAAGAATAGTAGTTCCTCCTGGCAAGCGTGCAAACAAAAAGAAAAGCAGATATTGCATAAGCAGTTTTTTTTTCTTGGCAGATAATAAAAGAAAAAATGAGTTACTTGGACCAGGCCATTGCCCATGCAAAGAGGTAGAGGAAGGGGTGCTGGGTGCTGGTGGGGGAGGAGAGAGAGAGAGAGAGAGAGAGAGAGAGAGAGAGAGAGAGAGAGAGAGAGAGAGAGAGAGAGAGAGAGAGAGAGAGAGAGAGAGAGAGAGAGAGAGAGAGAGAAAGAGAAGAAATATTGAGAGGGGGCTAGGTAGAGATGGCAAGTAGCTTCTATCGGTGCTTGCTGTCAGACAGCAAGCAAGATCCCCAGCCAAAGCTTTAGATAAGTAACTTATAACCCTAATTTTAAAAAAACTTATAAGAACTAATGTGGATCCTTTGCAAGACTGAGGGAGGGAGGGAGGAAGAGAAGGGAAGGGAAGGGAAATGAAGGAGAGAGGAAGGGAGGGAGGGAGGGAGGGAGAGAGAAGCCTGCCTATCTCAGCTTTTATCCCCCCCTCAATTTGAGCAGACAGCTCTTAAGAGATGATTCCCCCCACTTGATCAGCAATTCAGATTCCTTATTCCCCAAGAAGCTTTCCATCTTTTGGGCTGTCTTAAAACTCAAGGACAGCATCTCATTTCAGACAAGCTTAGCCCATCAAGCAGCAATCAAAAATCAGATGACCTGGAATATCAGAGATATGTAATGCTTTAGAACAGTGTTTTCCAACTTTGGCAACTTTAAGATGGGTTGGCTGTGGAATTCTGGGAGTTGAAATCCACTCATCTTAAAGTTGCCAAGGTTGGAAAACACTGCCTTAGAAAGTGAATGGCAATAATCCCTGCTGATCTGGAAACTCTTCCTGTTCATTGCATTTAGGCAATCCATACTTCTTACCTTTAAAAAAGCTGGAACCATGAACCAAGGTGTACCTGGACATAGCAATAGATAAGCCCCTGGAGTTCTCCCTAACAGCACCCTTGAATTTTGGGGGCTTGGCACTGCTTCCATTGACTACATAATAGGAAACATGAAAACAGCAACCTAAACCTTTATATACATTTAGCAGGGCTAGGAAAAACACAGTCAGCCAGCAAACCCAAATGGGAAATCATTCCATCTGTATGATGCTGGCAGGATCATCCTAGCCATTGTAGCCTCATCTGTCCTCTGTGAGAAAATTAAGTACAGCTATAGACATCCAAAAGATTGATCATCCTACTCTAAAGTATAGTAAAATGACTACAAGTGGCAGGTTTTGCATGAGATGCAACCTCCCAATTAGTTAACCAAGAATGTGTATCTTTCAACTCTCCCGATTCCTTTAGCATACCTAGTTTAAAAAGCGATCTTGGAGGAATTGACTGAAACCAGCCAAACCTGCCATACAGAGGGAATCTGATTTCTAGAAATTCATAAAAACCAAAACCAAAACCATGTGCCTTTGCTTATTATAATTCATGACCGAGGAACAGCCAGAACATCCTCATTTTCTTCCCACAACAATTGCATAAATATCCGTCTTTTGCATCAAAATAAGTAGCAATTCAGCCATGGAACCACTCTTGAATCGCTAGTAATACTTGGTTCATTCTATCAAATAAATACCTAGAAATAAAGTACATGGTGCAAACTAGATATAAAATTGTCTAAGTTGATTATCTATCTCTCTTTCTCTCTACTAAACAAGTGGCAAGGTATGCATTATATCTCAAGTGCTGGTAAAAGGGTTGAGAAGATAGCCACTTGAAGGCCTTGAATTCAAGAAGAGTGCATAAAAGCAACTTTATATCAACATAGTAATTCTGAGGTCTCTACCGCTATTTCCCTTGAATACATTTTTCTATTTAATTTCCATTCCTCATGCTCATTCTATGACATAACAGAATAACAGAGTTGGAAGTGATAAATATGCATCAATATGATAAATCTTCAGAGTCAGTTAAACCTACAATACAATGGAAACTAATTGAACAGAAGAATAAAATACAAATGGTGAGAGTCAGGAAAAGATAACATAAAGGAAGTAAGATAAACATATAGGCAAAAATAGCTGGGTCTGAGAAAGGAAGAAGAGAAGCCATAAAAATATATATAGTTGTAAAAGGAAATGGCTAGCCAGGAAAGAAAGGTTGAAGGGGAGAATAGGAAACTAAGCCGAATAAGATAAGAGGAAAAGCACACTGAATTGAAAAGCAGGAAAAGAACTTATTGTTTAAAATGGGGACATAAATATATACTGAGTTTAAAATAACCATTTAAATGTCTAATTTTTCTTATTCTTATTGTATATGTGAATATGATTTAATATGTTATCAGGAAATGTGTATAGGCGGTCGGAAAGAGTGTAACCTCATAGTACCTCAGCCAATGGGGAAAGAGGAGGGTTGTGGCGTCTGGGACAAGGGATGTATAAAGAAGGAAATATTTTGGGTTAAAACGTCGGAGAGAACCAAGGTTTGATAGCTTCTCTCCCTGCTTATTGCAATAAATGAAACAAAAGGTCTTCACTGTGTCTTGGCTGGTTATTGGTCAGGCGAGCTTGCTTCTGGTCATGAAGGAAAGTAGCCAGGAGCACATAACAGAAGGGACCTTGGAGGTCTTCTAGTCCAACCCCTTGCTCAAGCAGGAAATCCTATACCATTTCAGACAAATGGCTATCCAGTTTCTTTTTAAAAGCCTCCAGTGGGCTTCCGGTTTGAATCCCGGCGCCGATGGCGGCTTTTCTCTGAGCCTCCCGCCCCGAGGACGCATAAAAGCCGCAGGAGCAGCATCAAACAGCTGCTCCGCGGCTTGGAATCCCCTTCCCCAGGCAAAGGGGAGGGGGGGAGCTTCCCTGATAGGGGTAGAACTCCCGAGCTCTCATAGTTTCACAGCTGTGGGGGTGAAGGTGAGTTCCCCCGGAGTCAGGGACTTCGCGCTTCAGGCTGCCTCCGTTCCGGTGAACGAAGCCAGACGCGGATTCAACCTCTGCTTATGGGAGATCGTGAGTAACTTTTGTGAGCAGAGAGATCCAGGTGCTTGGGAGCTGGAAGAATTTGAGCCTTTAGCTCTTAAGTTAATAACTCTTCTCCATTGATATTTTGAGTTTCAGAAGAAAGAAAAAAAAATGGCCGCGGAAGGGTGTTTTGCTCTTTGACAGAGACTTTCACTTTCTGGGGACTTTCAGTTCTGCTTTCACTTTCTGCTGGACTATTACTACTGTATCAGATTTGCTTGTATTGCTGGTGGGCAAGCCATTTGCTTCTGCTTCTGGTGGCAGTTTCTATAAAATTTTACTGGACATTATATTATATAAATAAAATTAGAGAAGAGGGGAAGAGAAAGTAAAATGGCTTCAAAGCGTGGGGGAACTTTTCCTCCTCAGAAAAGCTCGAGCTCTTCTCCAGCTGTACAGACATCACAGCAGACAAAACCTACTCCCCCACCCTCTCCTCCAATGCCAGCCTTAACATTGAAAGATTTACAAGATGCCTTAAAGGACACTGCCAAACAGATTAGATGTGAAATGGATGAGCTGTTTGAAAAGAAACTTGAGGAGAAACTTGAAGAAAAAAATGTTGAGTTGAGAGAGGATATAGTGTTTGCACTGCAAGGTTTGGCTGATCATGTAGACCGCATTGCAGGGCGGGTGGAAGAAGTGGAGGAACATGTTGAAGTTTTGGAAATCAGAATGGGGAAAGTGGAAGAGAATACTGATATAAATCAGAATGAGATTCTTATGTCACAATTTAGAGAAATGGAACATGCGTTGAGAATAAGAGGACTGAGGGAAAATGTCCAAGAAAAACTGGAGGAGGAAATTGCAGCAGAATTGGCCTTGGTTTTGTCCTGCCAACCTGAAGAAATCACGAGAGAAGTGGAAAAAATTTTTAGAGTTAACTCATGGGTGGCGAGACAGAGAAACCTTCCAAGAGATGTTGTTGTTTACTTTTCAAAAAAATCAATCCGCAATGAAATTATTCAAGCTTTTTATAAACAGAGATTTCAAATTTTAGGACAAGATGTGATAATTTTAAAAGAAATACCACCCAAGATACTCAGAAGAAGAAAGGACTTTGCGTTTTTGGCTGAAGAATTGAAAGTGAGACAAATACAATTCAGATGGGATATACCAGCTGGCATAATGGTTAATTATATGGGCGTACGTTATCAGCTTAACACGGTGGCAAAAGCAAGAGATTTTTACAGCTCAATTCTGAAAGCAGGCCCATCAGTGTCTCCTCAAAGTATTAGGAAGGAAAGAATTCAAGAAGATAAAGACACTCAAGGAGCCACATCATCATCAAGCGTTACTAATTTACAAGATCAAGTTCAAGCTGAGTTACAACTTTTGGAAATTAAAGATGATCCAAAATCACAGAGATTGGCCCGTGCAGCTCACAGATGTAAAGAAAGAGAGCAACGAAGAGCGGATGCGGTACCCATAGCGCAGCAAGTAACTTCAGAGCCAGTGGGAGGAGCGAGACTGAAGAAATCAGTGATGGCTGATTTGCAAGGGGCGTTCCTGAGGCTCTCTGCCACTAAAGATGGCAAGGTTCCTGACATGGAATGTTAACGGCTTGAATTAACCGCAGAAAAGAAAAAAGGTATTTTATTATTTGAAGCAACATAAAAATGACGTTGTTTGCTTGCAAGAGACTCATATTACAGTGAAAGATCAAAAGTATCTGATTAATTCACGGTTGGGAATACATTTTATTGCATCTGCGCCTCAGAAAAAAGGTGGAGTAGTTATTTATGTTAAGAAGGAGTTTTTGCCTAAATTGATTGATACTGACCCAGAAGGAAGATATGTTTTTATTGAAATGCTTATGAATGGGAAGAAATGTCTTATTATTGGATTATATGCTCCAAACCAACAGCAGAAACAGTTCTATAAATTGATACATCAGAAACTAAATCAAATGGATTATAAATCAGTTATTATGATGGGAGACTGGAATGGTGTCTTAGATCCAAGAAAAGATAAGAAAGGTTCCTGT